TCTCTCTTCACCATGCCAGCATATTTGGTGATGATGCCATGCTGGTTGAGGCCAGGCAAAAGCAGAAGGAAACTCACTGTGGATACAAAACAGAAAATGAGTGGACAATCACTAATACAATAGCCCTGTGAAGGTACAAACCCGCCACAGACACTGAATAAAGGTACTGTTAATATTTTACAGTTCTAAATTACTGTCCCCCATGAGGCGACTTGTTATATATATATATCATAAAATGATTCTTATTGGGATACCGATATGATTGGAATCTTCATATTTTTTCAAAAGTACCATTCACTTCATAATGGATATAACACTTTCATGACAAATGAAAAATGGCTTCAGAATATTTCACCTAATTGGTACAAACAGATTTAACAATCTTTGTGTGCAGGGAAGGTAAGTGGCAGCATATTTCTGGATTGAAACCGTGGCTTTCCATGACAAATACAATGACCTCTATGTTGCGCAGCCTAGTCACTGTTTGCATGAGCTAAGCTTTGCTAAAGGACAGTGACTTCTCTACAGTTTGCACACTGTGGCGTGTCATAGACCCATAGATCTTAGGGCTTTTTTCCTGCTAGTAAATCGGAATGCATTTGTGATGTAAGAGATAGGACATGAGCAGCGCATTGCTCTAATGTTATACGACAGCCTTTCATCACAGGGGATTTCTTCAAGCAGTTTGCTTAACTTGGTAAACTTTTAGCCCTTATAAACAGCATACATACCGATCAGGTAGGTGAGGAAGAGGTTATGCACTTGTTGTCCGATCCAGGCCACAGCCACAAGACTGCTGATGACGGAGAGGAAATACTGTAGAGAAGTAAAACAAATGTGTTACAAGGAGTACACAGAGGAGGAGCCTATTTTCTACAGAACTTACAATAATATACACAAACGCTTTCACTTGCACACACTATTTGGTTTGAACAACATCTGATCAATAAATGTATATTTACTGATCACTGTCTTAATGAGCGAGTAATTCAGTCAATCATTGAGAAAGCAAGTGACTGTTAGATCACCCAAAAATGAAAGATTTCCACCAGCCGAGCACACGGCGCTGAGTCTTCACAAGGTTCCCACAGATCTCATGGAAACGCTGCTGCTGTTCTGTTGTCCTGTGCAGGAACAAAATAGTGCTCAGAAAACATACACAATAAACAAACAATGTCTTTATGGGTAACACAAACACATCATAAATGTTCACTCATAAACGAAGAGGGAATCTGTTTCCATTTCTGCTTAGCCATTGCATTTTATTTCTGGGCATAAAACATGACCATATTGAAGGCTTAAAGCTTAGAGCCACAGGAAGCTGCCAGATACTAAAATAAATGCCAGGGGTCTGATCTCGACTCGCTCTGCAGAATGTGACGTGCATAGCAAGACCTCTCACTGCAGAGTGGAGATCCGCTGAGTCAAACCAACACTGTGCCTGACACTGGACACTCAGCAGCAACTGCAACCTGTCACTCAAAGACACCAGAGACCTGAACTAGAGCAAGGGAAGTTGCCAGGGGAGACCAGAAGAGGCAAGAACATACATGCTGTGCAAATACCTATGTGTCTTGCCAGAGGATCTGAAGTGCTCTGAAGAGAAACATGCTATTTGATTAACCTCGCTAGTAGACGAAGAGAGTGTTACTTTAGAGCCTGTGGCCGAAAGCAGGACTTGCTGTCGTCTCTTCACTCACCATTTGTTAGAACCAAAAACACGGGGGGCAAGAGTGGGCACCAGGTAATCAGCCAGGCACAGGATCATGACACTGCAGGACAGACCAGTAAGCACAGAGGGGTCCAAGAAGTAGATTAGCCTGCCAATGACAAAATAGGTCATAAACTCTTGCATTCATTTAATTTTTTGATGACTGTATGCAAATTGTCACAATAAAAAAAAAAAAGACACACGATTAGTTCATAGCACAGGATGTTTCTGAAAGTAAAAGGAGGAAGAGTAAAAAAGGAACTCATTCTTAAAAAGACATCACTATTAAGAACTATCCTTTTCTTTTAATGTTTTTTTTTTTTTTTTAAAGCTGAAGCATCTTAGGTGCTTTCACACTTGGTTCGATTGCTCTTTTGCTTTAGACCATCTACAAATGTTAAACCTTAAAATAAAATGTTAAGGTTACTACTGCATCTTTCTGAAAAAAATAAATAAATAAAAATGCAGCGATTGATATTTAGTTTATGTAGTTATTTCTAAAGCTTCAATGTACCGTCATTATAAAATAACTTCATTATCATTTAATTCCAACAAATAAGTTCTTGTTAAAAACTAACCAAATTTAAAAATAATTTGTCTATAATTTCCACACAGGAGAGACTTGGTGTTGATTTCAAACAAAAGTTAATATATCGGTACTGGCATCGGCTATCTGCCAAAATGAGTTGAAAAATATCGGCAAAAATCCAATATTGTGCATCCCTACTGGCAACATTATTCTAAATTCAAAAACAGTATTCTATTCTTCCAGAACGTAAATGACTGTATATAACCAATGATTCCACTGGCATTCATGACATCATTCTGAATATCAGATAGATCAGATTACAACATCATAATAGATTATTATAAAAGGCATATGTTTACAATGTGTAACAACCTATATAATCAGAGGCTGAAGAAAGCAAGTGTTAATGGTAAAAAACCATTAAATACTTCAAGGACTTCAGCTTTCAGCGTGTAGCCTTATCTGATTAACTGAAGTGAAAGATTAGGCCTGTAGTAAAGAAGCAGCTCTAATGCATGCTATGAACCGCAGACTCACATGAACAGGATTGTGGTGGCACCCACTAATACTGCTGGGTACCACGGCTTCTCCCAGCGCAGGACCTGATCTCCAGCCAGGATCACCTCTCCCCATCCCTGCAGCTGCTCTTCCAGCTGACTCGTCTCTTGAGCCTAGAGAAGTGCTTTCAGTCAGTAACAGAGTCAAAACAATGAGTTCTCTTACGACAGATGACATGGCATTATCGGAAATTGTTGTACAATGGGAGTGTCATGAATTCATGGGATGGGCACATCCAGCAGGAATGTCAAGAATGTTAAATAGACACCAATATGAATTATTATCCTATCAGGGATATATTTTAGTTGTTAACATATACGAAGTAAAACAGGAGAACATAAATGGCTTTAAAGACAGCGACTGTGAAACCCTGTGTTCAAACCAGCAGGCCATATTTAAAGGGTCTGTCCAGTTACTTCCTTTATCTGTGATATATCACGTAAAAACATAGGTAGTTACAATTTTAAAGTGCATTTTAAAAGGCTAAAGCATAAACGTCAACCACAGTTCTTGGTGGCTTTAATTGACAACTAACGTAACGTTAATCTCTAAAAAAAATGCAGACTAGGATGTAAAGACTTTAGACAAGCTTATCTCCAGCGACGCTCAAACTAATTTTAAGTTACAAATATTTATCAAAAGCAAATAACGTTACTTGTTAAAAACGTAATATATTAAATATGTAACAAACAAATACATTATCCCTAAAACCATTTAGTAAGACGCTAGATATACTGAGTAATCCGTTTCGTTAGCACCGAATTAGTTAGCTTGCTAACATTTTATCACGCAGTTCATATCCGTGGCGTTTAATTTACCTTCTTTTCGGTGCATTCACAAGACTAACATTTACAAAATTAAAGACAGATTAAGCTTAATGGTGTCCTGTCATGCCATTGTTTAATCTGTTTAAGGTTGTGACAGCAGCAGAAGTCCGCGTAGCATATTGCTAAAGACAATCATAAAATATACATTTCGACAGAAGGCGAACTGCCTGCAAAGACGGAACATTAACAGACCACTTACCAACAGATTTGCACTTTTATTATCGCCCTCAGCCATGGTTTATTTTGGTGTATTTCAGATACTGTGTTGCTCGGAGAGCACGATTATATGAACCCGCCTCCCCTGTACCGCGGCACTGGCAGTCTGTCAACCGACCGTTATTTTCAGGATGTTTTTATCTGAAACTCGGGACACAAGGACTCATGGGAAATGTAGTTCACTAGTAAAATTCAAGGGGGAACCGTTCACAAATATGGTACAGGGCCTAAACCGATAAAGAAATTTCCCCCAACAAATGAGCAGTGGAAGGTGCGTAAACTCTAAAGGGTGAAATGTTTAAAAGGGTTGAAAATGTACAAATCAAGCTGTGGGCTCAGTAATGATCTACTTTGGAATAGAGCCAAAGATTAAATTTCCCCTAAATTAAAAGAAAAACAAAATTCACATATTTTACAATAATTTGGGTAACACGGTTGAATGGCTGAGCTTAAAAAATGCATTACCTACAAACTATAAAATGTGTAAGAATGGAGAAAAATGGAATAAGATTGATATTTCTTCAAACTATGCTAAAGAAAGGGTCCAGATAATGGTATTTCACAGATGTACATTTTTGTAATGGTGGAAAATTGTGTGAAAACAAAGGGAGAAAGCTTAGATGCAGCCACAACTTGGGATGGGGCTAAATGTTCGTTTTGGTAAATTAATATGGTTTATGGTTTTAAACTATTAATTTACTATTTTAATATATAATATAGCTTGCAGTTGTAATATAGTTTTCACTACAATTGAATATTTCAATATACATTAAAAATAATGTTTCATTTTAAAACAATCGAGAAGGTCAAATATAAGTTCAAGTGACGAGTAAACAAAACATATATTTGCTAATAATTGGATACAAAATATGTCATGCTCAAGAACAAATAGGCTTTCAATATTAGGTTACTACTGTATTAACCTCAGGTTAAGCAATGTAACCACACTTGTAATTATGAAAGGGGGTCACAGCACTGCTTTTAACACTGGGTAATGAAGCCTAGTTCCTGAACAAAATTAAATTGCAGTACAAAAGGTAGACAGTGTGAAATGCTGTGGTAAGTCTAAACAAGTTAAAATTCCAATTCCGAAAAATTCCAAGTATAAAAATCAGACAAACATGAACAAAAACAGCAAATGCTTGAATGAAGACCCAAGAGGTTTAATTATAGTTTTATTTGACCAACAAAGTGGAGTAAAACCATTAGGAGACAACAATTGTAACCATCACCACATCACTATTCCATTACTTATTTCTCCCACTAAAAATGTAAAACTAGGTCAAGATCAGTAAAACACAAGCTTTAATGAGGACATGTATCAGCGGTGATACACTTCCACAGGCAAGTCAAAAAAAAAGGAGCAATCTAGTCTAAATCCATAGCAAAGAAGGAAAGGGAGAAAGAATCTACAATACACAAACAAGATCAGAGATGCATACTAAGAAAAAAAGCATTTAGAAACTGATTTGCACATCTCACCATATTGAGCCTGGGTCATACTCGAGGATCAAACCAAAGAGACCTCAGACTGAGCACTTGCCAACTCCAAGCACATCAATTCATTGTGCCAAACATTCAGAAACACGTGACGGTGAATGTTCCCAAAGCCACTTTGCAATTTGCCTTTTAATTGTGAAATCTGTGCAGTACATTGGTGAAGGTGTAAAAAGTCTTTTTTGCAGCGTTTCCTATATATACTTGAGGGGAAAAGGTCTTTTTTGTGGTTAAGAATGAACTCTAAGGTCTGCCAAAGGCCTTCTGGCTTCCAATGGAGTCCTTTGAGCCTTCTGGTCACACAGCCCTCCACACCCACTCCAGCAGGAGACAATCCAGCCGCAAGTCGTGCCCGACCCCAAGCCATCCAAAAACAGAGGATCCCTCTAAGACCGGATCACCCTTTCCCTCCACTCTCGCACAAATGTAGTCTAGAAACTCGCTAATTATCGCAGACTGTCGCTCAAAGAGTGGATAAACTGTCTCCTGCAAATTTTCCCTGTGGCAAATCCTATTTGTTTTGATAGTTGACAGACATTTATTTTGTTGTTGTTGTTGATACAGGGGTTGGTTGGGGGGGTAGTTCAAGCCGCGTGTGCCTTGCCCCCCCCCCCACCCCGCCTCCCCATCTTGGTAAGCTCCCCACACATCTCGGGGAGACAGATGCAGACCCATTTCGTTGTATTAGCTGGATTGCCGGGTGTAGCTGTGCTACGGGGATCCGGTGTGGGTCCGAGGGAGGGTCTCTACACCCCCCCTCCCCTTTCCTGCATGGTGCTCTGTGGCTCCATTGCCCCAGACCCAGTGGATTTTGGTGGATTTCTACCCTCGCTGGACCAAAGTGATCTACAAGGATCCCGTTCACACCCATGCTGTCCATCCCTCGTACAACTGTGCCAGGTTGTCCAAGTTTGTCGCCTCTTTGATGACATAATCCACCTTAAAGAGAGCAAAATACATGGCATTAACAAACCCACACAACAGCAGCAGTAAGGTTGTATAGATAAAGGAGGAAAGCTCACCTGCTCAGTGACACTCATTCTCCTGTTAGGGTCCACATCTCTCCCTTCCAGTTTGGCCTTCACCCTCTTCCACACACTAACAGCGTAGGAATTCCTCTCTTGCACAGCTGAAGGAAAAACTGCTGATCAGTGATCTTAGCAAAGCTTCAAGTTGATTTCGTAAGAGGACTTCAATGAAAGGCACTATTTTCCTTTAGAAGATACCATTATCCAAACAATCCATTGTCAGTACAAACTGTAATTTAAACGTCATGAGTTTAAACTGCCTGAACGTGAACATCGGTGAAGTGCTTTTCATACTCAAGTTGACATTGATCTATCGGTTAAAATAACTGCACATTGGCCCTTGTAGGTCAAACATGCAGATCTAAAGATTCTAAACTACGGTTCAAAAGTTTGGGGTCTTTAAAAGAAATTAATACTTTCATTCAACAAGAACGCATTAAATTGATCAAACAACAGTAAAGATACAAATGTAAAATGTTGCAAAATATTTCTGTTGCAGGATGTTTTGGCACTGAAGTTTTAAACTATACTATTTTTACTGTATTTTTGTTCAAATAAATCCAGCCTTGGTAAGAGAGAGCCAAAAAAAATTACCAACCCAAAACTTTTGAGTGGTAGTGTACTTCTCAATAGTTTATAATTATTAAAATGCTAAAACATTGAATGTATGATCAGCATTAACTTGATGAATAGTGCCTTTTAATAGGCATCTTTTAAAATAACCACATATTGGTCAAACACACATATGTAAAATTGCTACATTTTAAATGGACCGATCTCCGAGATGGCATTCGCATCACAACTAACCTCTTCCAGTTTTGGGATCCCGCACGGCTCTTTTGGGGCTTGGGGCCAGTCCTTTACTGTTGATCATCAGAGTGCTGGGGGGAGTGTCCACCGGCGTCCCAAAGTTTCGAGGAAGAGCTTTGCGGGCATTCTGAGACATGCTGTCAGGTTGGGTCTTCACTCCACTGCAGCGCACTGCTATAGTAACAGACAGAGAGAGAGTTCAAACTCAAATCACCTACAGAAAAAAAACCCACCATGAAAGAACCAAAGCTACATCTTAAACTTACCAGCAGCAAAGCTGGTCTGGACTGTGGAAGTGGGACTTGCACAGTCACTTCCTCTCTCAGTGACAAGAGGAGAGGCGAAGCTCACCAAGCCATTGTAGATGCTAAGGAAAAAACAAACAAACATTTTTAACAAAAAACCCCTTGAAGGATTACAAGTTGTGTTCTGAATCCAGCACAAGTGCTCACCTCTGGCTCTGAAGCTTTAGCTCCTTCAGGGTGGCAGGGATCTCCTGCAGCAGCTCAACCTGTTCTTGGCTGCGTGGTTGACCTGTAGCTTGCACTACTGTGAAAAGCACTATCTGCACATTATCCTGCCATGCTTTGTATTCTGACAGGAACTGACGCACACTACCCTCATAAGTCACTTCTTCTCCCTCCGCAAGGGCATTTTCCTCATCCTGCCAAATTGAAAAGCAGGTCTCATTGGAGTGCACACAAAAGATAGATATTCGATAATATTTAAAACCACTTTTTATCAGCGGTTAAAGGTGACCAACAAACTAAACACGTCAAGCATTTAGCATCAGAGGCTTATATACCTTTGCCATGGCACGCAGGAGGTGCTTAACATCAGCAAGTTGGCGGTTGTGATTGGACAGGATGCCTTTAATGGAGTCTACCAGCAGCTGCAGGGTTTCGGTCACTCTCTCCAGCTGCTGCTCTCTTTCCTCCTGCATGGCTCTCTGATTGGACATCTCCTGGGTGAGGTGATTCTGTGCGTACACAAGCCACTCAGGCCCACCAATGGACAGATCCATGGCAGCACTCTGCAAAAACACGATCCAATGCTTTTCAATTAGAAACAGCGGACACCCAACAGATTATGGTGAAAATTTTTTTCTTGGATTCCCAAGTAGTTAAAGTGATTTGCAGGGTTGCACTGATATAGTTTGACTAAATAAACTTAAAATAAAATGCCAGAAACTAAAATAAATTGTTTTAAATCCTACAAGTGAATTCAGGCATACTATCATACATGTAGAGTATAAAAATGGATATTTAGAGAGTCGCAGGATTTAAGTTTTAAATTATTTTTAAATATATCCTCTAAAATGGAAGTTAACCTTTACCGATTCATTAAATATTATCAACAATGAAATATACAATACTGATCGATCGCTATGCACTACAGTTCAAAGGTTTGGAGACAGAAGTTTTAAGAAACTGATAAAAGGAGAGTAAAGAAATTTATGATGTTACATGTTGCTCTTCTTCAAAAAAAGAAACCAAAAAAAACAACAAAAAAAAACAACACTATTTTCAACATTGACAAGAAGAAATGTTTCTTGAGCACCAAATCAGTATTAGAATGATTTCTGAAGAATGGAAATCATTTCCATTATTTTACATTTTAAAATAATATTCAACTAGAGAAGTTATTTTAAATTGCACTTTTAAAAACATTTCTGTTTTTTTACTGTATTTTTTAATCAAACTTGGTGAGCATGAGACTTTTTTAAAAAACAAATAAAACAAAATAAAAACTTTACTGACTCCAACTTTTGAATGGTTGTGTAGATAGTAAGGGTGCTCCGATTGATCGGCTACCGATGACTATCAGCCGATAATCGCTTTGGGATGTTTGATCGGCGGTCTCTATAAAGGCCGATCTAAAAAAAAAAAAAAAAGATCTCAAGCTGTTGTGAGAGGTTTGGCACGACGGTGCACCGTCTCAGTCTGTCAGACTCGGGTAAAATGAAGGTGAAGTACAATTCATATTTCTTCATTAAATAACATGAAGAATTTGAAAACTTTGTGAGAATTTTACAAAGTGTGAGTGAATCACCACGCACGCTCTCTCTTTCTCTCTCAAAATGCGCAAACGGCTTCAAATCACATCGCGTCTGTCTATAAGCGAGCTGCACGCTGTACAGTTGACACAGGAATTGTCACTTGCACAATCGAGGCAGTGTCGCATCGTCACTGAAGTTTACAAAAAAGCATTTCTTTTTAATTCTTGCCAGTGTTTAAACCATTCTCATGCGCTCTCCTGGAGACTGAGCGCTCATGCACACTCGGAAGCGCACACACATATCGTCAGGTTCACATGTTTGCAGTGCGTATGCGGTGCATATTTTTTTCGAGCTCATGTTAACTGATTAAAGCATTCACACTGCACACGGTTGCGGTCCGGCAGTGTGTTCCAGGCGCGGTGCGTCTGCAGCAGTGCAGAGATCATTTCCACACAGAGTCTATTTTTGCTGTGATACACGTGCTGAATTAAAGTAACAGTGCATTGTTTGCGGTAAATGTGAATATGGATTGACACGAAAATGTAGTAATTACACCATAAATGCATATAATTAAAGTCTCCTGTGTTTCACAGCACATAGGCTATGGCTTTTTGGCTAGGTTTAAAGGAAAAGAGCACTTTTATATAAACAAGGCATTAAGATGGCACTTGTGGAGGTAGGAAAACAAAGTTCTTTATGAACCGCAGGATTGCTTGTACTAAAGAATTAAATGCAAAAGAAAAGGCAGTAGAGCTGACTGTTTCTGTCAATGGTAAGTTTCAAATTTAAATTTTACGTTACAATACTGTACTAATACTCACTGATACTTCAAAATGTATTCAAGTACTCAAGTTAAAATGTACTCTTGTTAAAGGATTTTCTAAGACTGTCCATATGTTTCAACCTTTTGATAATATATTTAATGTGATATTCAGCATTTATATACATACATATTTAAAGGGTTAGTTCACTCCAAAATGAAAATTCTGTAATTAATTACTCTCACTCATGTTGTTCCAAAACCGTAAGACCTTCGTTCATCTTCAGAACACAAATTAAGATATTTTTGATGAAATGTGAGAGCTCTCAGACCCTGCATAGACAGCAACGCAACTGTAATGTTCCCAGACAGAAACGTAGCAAGGACAACGGTAAAAAAGTCCATGTGACATCAGTGGTTCACAACTTCAATTTTGCAAAGCTACGAGAATACTTTTTG